AAGTTCGAAAATGAGTTATATCGGTCCACGATATCGTATATCCCCCACATAACGGTACCTAACGATATTTGGTATTTTGGATGATTATAGCCCAATATTTCAATGGAATTGTTTAAAAAGGGGTTCCTTCTTAGTACTTTACCCCCTGGAAGAGAATTTTCTATATAGGTCCACCATATCCTATAGTCCCCCATACAATATTCGCTATTTGCATGATTTTAGCGACACTTTTTACCGGAACTGTTTCAAATTTTGTATTTAGAAATCGTAATGGATACTGCAGTCTATGCAGTATGCCCACCCACATCTTCATGTAGCCCCTATATAACGATACCTCCTGATATTCGGTATTTTGATGATTTTAGGGACATTATTCACCGGAATTGTTTCAAATTTCGTGTTTGAAGCTCGTAATGTGTACTACAACCTGACGGAAAGTTTTCTATGAAGGCCCTAGTCTTCATATAGCCCACATATAACGACATCTCCCTTTATTCGGAATTTTGATGATATTAGCGGAATTATTCACAGACATTGTTGTAAGTTTGATGATATTAGATATTTTTTTTTACAGAATTGTTTCGAATTTCGTATTTAAAATTCATAATGTCTACTACAGGCATAACAAAAAATTGTATATGCAGGACCACGTATTCGTATAGGCCCCATATAACAATTCCTTAAAAATGGTGGAAGATATTAAAAGTTCAGTCCGGCCGAACGGAGCTGCTTTTTTACTTGTTTCTACTAGATCTATCAACTGTTTTACAAAGACAATCAGAAAACGTTGGTACGTCCCAAAGACTGGTACGACGAGTCCTGAGTTCCGATACCCGAATTTAATGAAAGTCAGTTTTGGGCTACTCATTCTAGAGAGTGTCTTTGAGGCATTTAAAGAACGCAGAATATAATATATTTTTAAGAAGAAAAATTGTACTGTACATTCCTTAAAAATACCTTAAAATATGTAAGGCATTCTATATAATACTTGCATTTAATTTTTGGAGATTACTCTCTCACTGGATAACAATAATCCATTCTTTGCACATGCCTTCCGACTTCTGTTACGAATTGCTAATTGCCATTTTAGATGAGTCTTTCGTGAAATTCAATTTTAACTCGATGTTGTTAATTGATTTATGCATCAAATAAATAAATCTTTACATCTGACTGACATATGGCAATGCATAAATCAATATTTTGTCACGAATGAATTGCCTCCAATTGGAAATATGTTCATTTCTCTGCACACAAAAACATCGTTACGCATGTGGGTATGGTGGGGAGTGGGCAAACTTTTTGCAGATTAATTTTATTTTGTCGTTATGTGAGTTGTTTGTTTCGTTATTGTTCTTTTTATTAAGAACAGCTTTAAAAGGCATAAATACTTCATTCATTTATGATGATGATTTTTTAGATATTACTAGGGTCTTGGCAACAGCAACAGCAACAACCACAACTGTATCAACAGTAATCTCCATGGCAGCAGCGGCAACAACAATAGCAATTCCAACAAAATCAAATAACGAAACAACAACAATAACAACGCACAAACTGAGAACGGAATCCGTGAAAACGAAAAAGTTTGCATTTTGTTTGCGTGGCATAGGGGCTAACATTGCCCCCCATTGCAAATGAATTGAATGAATGAATCCTAAACAACAATTTTGTCGCAGCATGCCGCATCGTAAGTACAATACCAAGAGCACACCATCTTCTGACCTCCACCCGGTTGCCCATCTATGCGGCATCAAGGAACGTAGCAACAGTAACAACAGTCAGACAAATACGCACACCCATGCACACAGAGAGCATTATTTAATGGTGGTAGTAAAAATAAAATAAAAAGAAAGTATGTTGATCCAGTGTTTAGTAATACTCACACGCACAGACATTCAAACACATATTCCACACACACACACACAGGCACATACACACAGGCTCACAAACCCATATACAAACGCAAGAGGGATAAAGTAACAAATTACGTCTCATTGTGAGTCGTAAATACGCCATATACACAAAGACCTTTAAGCTCTAACACACGCACACAGCGTAGTTTGATGAGCAACAGTAAGCAGCAAAATTCATGCTAGGTTCAGTCGGGCAGACTGGAAGTTTGAATGGTAAACTTTAACTATAATTCGAATATATTGCATTTGTTTAAAGGATTGCGAGCTACAGCGTTCCGCAGGTATCGGAAAAATATAAATATTTACTCGTAATGCCTGTTTTTACTCAGATTTCTATAATATAAACTACGATAATCATTTGATGAAGGAATTTTTATTTTTCTGAAAATGTTGACAGTTTCAGGATATTTCATTTTCAGGATATTTTATTTTCTTTTTCGAAATCAAAAGACAAATATCTATGCAGAAAAATGTAATTGATGCAATGATTTCACTGGTTCATTTATATGAGTTCAGAGAAAGCCGTAAAACTTCCTATATTTTCTTCAATCATTCGAAAACAACTATATGAGGTCCTTATTCCAAGAACCTAAAATCTTGTTTTTCATTCCTTTCTTTGTTTGCACTTATTAATTTCGTGCAAAAAAATATGCAACAACAGGCAAAAACTCCCAAAATGAATGCTAGACCAATAGAAAACCATATATAAATTCCGAATAAATATTTATACTTGGTGTTGCGTTAATTTTCATAGATATTTTTCAAAATTAGTAATGTATTCCTTTCTTCGTAGTTTGACTGTCATAAAAAGGGATGGTAAAGACGCCATACTTAGTATCCAAAAATTATTTGGATGTTTTGTGGGTTGCACCCTTGTAAAAAGAATGGATGAACAAGTAAAAATGGGTCTTAAGTTCGGCCGGCCCAAACTGTTTATACCTTCCACCACTACGTTTATCAAAGTAAAATGAAATGATAAAAAGAGTATGATATGCTAACTTAGAATATCAATCCGCTTTCATTGAAGAAATTTGAATCTAATTTGGTTGGAAATTGTGGCCTCAAAAACCTCCAAAAGAGGGGGTGCCGTTATATGGGGGTATACCTAAACGTGCTTTTCCAATACCAATCAGCGTGCACATAAGATGCTTTGTGCTAAAATTCAAAGCTCTACATTAACTAATGTGGACTCTATTGTGATTTCAACAGATAGACATGATGATGACTTAATCTGATTAGAAATATTTACAAATTTCGAAGTATTCGCATATTTATCAGAGGGAGTATATTTATTTATTTATTCAAATTCATTTTAGTAATACTATGCCTACAAGACCATATTAACATATATGAGAACTGCATATGAATAGCCACAAAAACAAGCTTCCAATAGGTCAAGAATACCATTGACGCCTTTATCTATTGGCTTCGATGCTAGAGCGATTATAACGTTGAACTTATCGAAAATAAATGTATTTAAGTTCCAGAAATCCAATAAACTACACCATAATTCTAATTGCTATTGTATCTTTATCCAAAATTAACATCTCTCGGAAAGATATTCAAAAAATATGGTGTAGAATTTAGTATTTTCAGTGTCTTGTCCAAGAACAAATAAACCTGATATTCGAACGAGGAAATACAGAACAATGTACCTGGAATGAATGCATAAAATATGAATTCACAAAAATGAATATGGGAGAAATGCAGTTTGATTACATTCTCACCGTTTACTATTTCCGTCGAAATGTAAACTTTTTTCATTTGGCGTTTGATGCAAGTGTTTGTTTACCAACGTAATGCACTCCTCGGCAGGGTTCAAAAGCCCCGGTTGTTAACGTATTCCTTTTTTGGTTGCCATTGCCGCAACGATTGCAAACAAATGCCGAATGACTCTAGCTCGCTGCTCGGAAAATGGAATGCGCTGCGTCTCCTCACACTCCAGTAAATAATGAAATGTATTGGCTTTAGTTCTTTTGTGGCAAAATAACAGCGGAATAAACTAAAACAACAGAAAGCAGGACGACCGCACTTTTCACATCTCCAACAAATGTGTCTGTAAATTTGAAAACTGAGAATGCCACACAAAAAACCCTCCGTATTTAATTTGCGAGCATAAACGGATATTAAATGTTGCAAATTTCATTTGATCTTTTTTTAACAAATAGTTGTTGTTTTTCCCCTTCCTGGAAAAAACAACAACAACCATTTATATTGAGATCCTATGGAAAGGGGATAGCTTTCATATAATGCAAATTCAAGCTTTAAATGAAAATTTTAATATATGCGGTTTTACTAGCCACGACAAGCCAAATAAAAAATAAAATTAATAAAAACAATTACGACATTTCACAAATTAATGTGTGAATAATCTCATACAATTTTGTATTGTTTTTTTTTTAGTTTTTTGTGCAATTATAATTTTTTTCTTCACAAAGTTGGGACAGTCGTACTTCCTTTGGAGCTAATAATATTTCTTTGTGTTTTCGTCCTTAAATACTCGATTTTCGTGGACATGTACTTATATAAACTTCATTTTAAGAAAATCATCTCTCGGTACAATAACTTTTGTAGATATTTTTAGATTGCTTACTTTTGGCATATTTATAAATTTTGAACTGGAGTTATGCAAGTTTTACATGTTAGTCTTTAAAGAATACTTTCAAGGCAACGTAAAAAGCAGCACACACAAGCTTTTAAAGTTGTACCGCTCTCTATGTAATATCTGACCTTTACAAAAATACACAATAAGAGATTTAAAATGAAACATATCGAGGTTGTGCCAGCACAGGCATTTACACAACTGATAAATTTAATTTGTTTCCATTTTAGAAAATCAGAAATTCTCCTCGGACACTAACTGAATTTAAATCAACCATCCTGGCCATTTGAAAAATGGTACCGTTTTTCGAATATCACACATTTTCCTTATTCATTTTTCATCGAAGTGCGGATGTAAATAATGGCTTAGGTGTTCAAATCCATCGCCGTTGATATTGATTAATGCGATTCTGTTATTCGCTTTTTATTTCCATGTAAATGGATATTTATAAGATATTAATTGTTTGTCTTGTTTCTTGTTTGCAGATACTAATGTTAAACATATTTGAGAGAATTAATCATCACGTAAGTAGCAATGTAATCTGCGTAGCAAATATATTTACATTTTGAGTATAAGTTTCAGTATCATATTTATAAAGAAGGCAAATAAATTCATTGCACAAACTTTTTATACCCTTCGCCATACTATGGAGGGTATAATAACTTTGTCATTCCGTTTGTAACTCCTCGAAATTCTCATGTCGGACCCAACAAAGTATATATATTCTTGATCAGCGTAAAATTCTAAGTCGATTGAGCAATGACCGTCTGTCTGTCTGTCTGTTGTAACGGATTGAGATAGAAGACTAACGGTATTTTGATGATTTTAGCTGCATTAATCACCTTTTTTTCAAGTTACGAATTTGAATATGGTAATGACTTATGACAAACAATACATAAACCCACGTCGTATTGACCTTAATATGTTTTAAGATTTTGACAGAATTTTTAACGGATTTTATTTTTGGAAAATTTCCAATTTCGTTCCAAATGGTGGAGGGTATTCAAAGTTCGGCAGGGCCGAACTTACTGCTTTTTAACTTTTTATTTATAAAACGGGTTAAATACATAACTGACTAACATAACATAGAAATTTTGCTTGAACCGTGCAGATAAATGCAAAAAAAAAATATTTGTGGTTTTAACATTTTAAAACAGTTGGTAGGATCTCTTATTGGCATTACTTCATCCAATAACATCACTTCGCCCTCCTAGCATCTGTTGTGCTAAAATATATTCCTTTGCATATGTAGTTAATGTAATGATGATTTTATGAAATACTAGAGACAAATACTCGCATTGTTTGCCACAACAAGGCACCATTAATGTTTGTGGCTACTCGAAGATAAATGGAACAAATTCCTCATATCCGGACTTCCTTTAGAAATCTGTGATTGGATGAGAAACAATGAAGTGGTTTTTATTGCTTCGGACAGCAATGGTTTTGTTTCTAGTCAGCATAACTTCTATAGAATTTCCAAGAGTTTGGATTTAATCGGTCTATAGCTGTCTTGAATCAAAAACTATTTTTAAATCAAACTCAATATAGTTTATATATGCAAGTATTCATCGAGAATTTTATCTCTACCTATGAACTTCTGCCGCCACAGAGGGTATGATCTGCATGAATGTCAATGACTATCTCTTTGTGATAGGCTAGTAAGAAAAAATCACGTGCACGAAACAGATGTGCAAAGGCTAACTCGGACCATTTATATGCCAGCGAGTTGTTTGATTATAACGAATGAAAGGTGTCTTCTCGTCTGCTCACCAATCATCGAAGGTTTGGGAGGCTCGCGTAGGATAACCGCATCCATTGGAAATCAATTTCATTTCAACATGCAACGTAACTTTCCACGACTGTTGATTAACATTTCAGGTACATCAATCTGTTTTGATTCAATGTTTATAATTAAATTTTGAATACCCTATTCTTTCTTAAGTTAAAGTTTATCATTCCGTTTTTAACTCATCGTAATATTAATTTTAGACCCAGCAGAGTACATATTCTTGATTAGTGTAAAATTCTATGTTTCTTTAGCCATGTCCATCCGTTCGTCTATTGTAATCATGTCCAAATGACTTGGTAGGAAGCAACATTAAAAGTTAATAATGGGTTCTACTTCCCATGGGAGAATATTGTCCATGTAGGTTCACGCTTTCACATTGCCCCTATTTAACGATAAATCCCAATATTTGGTATTTCAATGACTGTATCCAAAATGTTCAACGAAATTATTTAAAATTTGCTAGATATAGTAAACATTCCCTGTAGTTGAAAAATGGTCATGTAGGTTTTCTTGGATGTAAAGACCCCATATATTGGAACATAAACCGGATTTGTTTTTGTAATAGTATCATATGTAAACATAATGACTTATGAAATCCGGAAAATTATCTCAACATCGAATGAGACACCAATTCAAAATTTTAGAAAGAAATCAGAATAATTTTATAAATCAAAGAAGGCCACATTTTAAATCAAATTATATTTTCAATTACGTCTTAAACTTTCTTGAAATACCAATAATTCAAAACCCTTTGAAATTGCAACGTCTGCCTGCTATTCCTTGTTACACTACCAACCAATAATTTTAATTACACAGTCTCTGTCAGTCAATAGCAAAGAAAAATAACAGTAACGAAGGACAGCTATGAGTGCCATAGAAACTTTTCCACAATGAACACTGATTCAAGTTTAATTTGAAAATGGCCATTAACTTGGCGACAAAACAAAACACACTCAACCGCACACAACACATACAGGCACACACACACACACAGGCACACTCACATCCATTTGCAAAGTCACTTCATTTATCGATGGTCTTGTGTAAACAGAACATCGATGTCGTTCTTTTCTGTTTTTCTCTCTGAGCAAATAAAAATAAACTGGAAATTGGTTGCGTTTATTCCGACAAAAAAAGAAGCTGGAATAACAAACATTCAACTACGGCTAGTGCTCTCTGAATTCATGCAACTCTTCGGTTGCAATCTATGTGTGGGTGAGTGGGAGACTAAACGTCAATTAAAACTGTTTGGGGCCGATATAAACAACTGCCAACTGGTCTCCATGAACCATCTTGGCCCACACGCATGAATTTGTTTACACAGATAGAGGCGTATGTTTGTGTGTGTGACTGTGTGTGTGTCTTGTATAAAAGTATTATATAATTTAAATACAGAGAAAGAGTTATAAAGAGCACCGGCTACAATTTTCTTTGAAAGATACACATAACTAGAAATCCATATCACATTTCTCAATAAACCCTAGCCAAATATGTGGTTGAAGATATAGCAATAGTTTAAATACAATTTTTTGAGATATATATATATATATATATATATATATATATATATATATATATATATATATATATATATATATATATATATATATATATATATATATATATATATATATATATATATATATATAGGTTTTCAAATTAAAAGACAGAATGCTTTTGCACTCTCCCTTGATTCGGCGTTAGGTGAAAGATCAAATGAAAAGTTGATATATTCAAAATTACAGTATCTTTAATATTGCTGCTGTAATAATCCTTATTCTTTGTATTTTATTTATTTATTTATTTATTTATTTATTTTTTTTTTTGCAAAGAAAATGGAAATATTTGTGTTCTGTTTAAAAAAGGAAAGGATAATTCTTCGACAATATGTCCCTAGCCGATGTTATTTTTAATGAATCTGTTCTTGTCATTTCATCGAGTAAAACAAAAATTGGATTTTCTGATAGATCTTTAGGTGTCCAAATTAAAGTTTCTGACGAATGAAAAGTACAACAATTATTTTGCATTCAACCTGGATTCGGTGTTATGTAGAAGATCAAATGGAAAGTCAAAACCATAACTGGATATTCTGGATTAGAATATATTTAAATCGTCTGCTCTAATAATCATTTCTCATTGCATTTAAATCAAATCATTTTTTGCATTTGTTTCACAATGCCAAACATTTGGTTTCGGAATGTTGCATCGTATAAATCCTTATACAATTCAAATTCCGATGGATAATTGTGTTTGTGTAATTTTGATTATTCTGTCAACTTCGTAGATTAATCGTCATGTCTACCATTTGGCACAATTTCAAAAAGGCTCCCAATAACGAAAATAGCACATTACAGGTCTGTTTGTCAGTGAACAGCCATGTTCTCCGATCATCACCTGCTTCTGTTTTACATACGTATGTGTACATAACTACACTATATGTATGTGCTACATTCATATGTGTATGTGTAAAAAAAGAATGTTCATTATATCCCTTTTTTGTTCCTGTTGAAACTTTATTTTGATTCCACATAAAGACCCACCATGGACTGAACAAACCCACGCCTGAAATAATAGACCGAGTTTGTACGCCTAAAATTGTTTCTCGTCGCAACGAAACCTACACGCACACACACACATACGTATGTTGGGAACAAAACGTTTGGGTAAACCAGATGAAAACGGCCGATTTGCAGGAACATGCAAACGAATGTAATCTAGTAAAATATTGTAAATCTGCCGCATTTACTGGTGCTCTAGCACACAAACGGCAAATAATGAAACCCGAATACCAAAAATTTCCACTCAACGACAACAACGGCCCCAAACGCATACAGTCACAACAAACACCAGTGGCCGTAGATGCCGAAGATGACACTTTGTATGCACGACTCGTACACACACACACATACACACGAATTGTGTACGGGATGTGCTTTGCTGTTGTTTGCCAGTCGTGTGAATGGCAATGTGCATTGTGCAGCTTCCAGATAGTGATGACGGTTCGTAGTGATGCAACGCAAAACCTGAGATGGAAATCTCGTTTTGGGCCCTTACTACAAACACCAGCTATCCCGACAAGTTAGTGTGGACTGCATCGAATTTGAAACCCAAAAGGAAAATTCGAGTGCACAAAGGCCCCTCTGAAGTTTTACGTTCGGATCCGCCCTTGTATTTGCATGTCATGTGTGTGATGCATTGCAGATTGAATGCCCATGAAGGCGTATGTGTTTCACATTGCGAACTTTGCATTCATCCAACACGGGCACACACATACACTTCCTGTGTATAGCAAAACCCGACATTTGTAGGGTTTGGTTGGCGAACACAATTTCATTTACAATACTACCCTGTTGCCAGCTACACCAGCTTTAGCTTTACTGCCACAGCCCTAAATTTGGTAAGAAAAATTTGTTGATTTGTTACGTTTTGTGATTTTACAACATACCTCGAATGGAATTTCGTTTGGGGTGTTCATTTAAATCATCGAGGGCTTTCCTAGACCCATCCGAAACAATGCACAATCCCACTTTGTCATGGCCATGCAATGCAAAACCATTTGATCCGGAAACTGAAATCACTTCAATATGTTTCGATGCTGGCCCTCCGCCGCTTGCTCCCCTTCTGCAATTGCCAATTGCATGCAATCCATTTGATTTGTTTGCGCAGAAAATAAATGTCTTGTTTTATTTGCATTTCACCGAAACGAATTTTAAACGAAACTGAAATCTACTCCTA